ATTCTGAAATTTAAGAGACAGAAAGTTGAAAAAATTCAGAAAAAGAGCAGTAGAAGGAGAACATAAAATAGTCCAACACTTTTGAAAACACGCACATAATGTGTGGCTTAGGGGCGGAATCAGGGCCCATTTGTGGGTACTTAGGGCTGTGATATAATAATATATTTTATATTAAACCGAAAAAGAATAATTGCATGGTTGGAACTTGGGAGTAAGTAAAACAGATAATTGCACTATAAAATCTTCGTCGGGCTTCTTTAATTCTACATTTGACAAACAAAAAACAAACTAAAATATAAAAAAAAAAAAAAAGTCACGGAAAATATTTGAAATTAAATGTTTATCGCATTTATTTGCAAAAGCTATTATTTCATGGATCATCGATCAATGGACTCTTAGTTTTGGTAGAAAGTGCATAAAGTAAAGATCATTGATGATACCTTCGATGTTTTATCATTTCTTTTCCTGTCCTTATCTTTTAACATTTTAGTAATTCTGGCCTCCCCACAACTGGCCTTGTATTCTTCAAGTTTGAACTGCATTTACAATTAAAACAGAATAGATGAGGATTTTTTAGGAATATAATTTTAGTAAACATCAATCATTCAGAACAAAATAGATTCAATCATTAATATTGAAACCATTTTTTTCTCACAAATAAACTATTATATTATAGAGAAATAAACTCAATCATTATTACAACACAAATAAACAGATCCTAAACAGTAGAACCTACAGAAAATCTTCAAAATAACGTAAAAGAAAACTGCATAACAAATCATAGAGCAGTTTCCGAACAAAAAGGTTGCCGCAGCCCTAGGCCTGGAGAGTAAGAGCGAAGGTGGAAACTAGAGATATTATAAAATATGATTCATGTAATTATGGGTGTAAAATTTATATTTGATATTATTATGGTAGATCTAGATTTTCTTAATCAATAGGTTATTTTTGGGAAAAAAAAGGGTTTTCAAAGCCTTTGAAATTAATGTTTATTGCATTTATTTGTAATTGCTATTATCTCCTCCTAGTTTTGATAAAAACTACATAAAGTAAAGATCATTGATCATACCTTCGAAATTTTTTCAATGCTTTTCCTGCGCTTTTCAAGAAAGGTTTTGAACTTGCACCTATTTTCATCGTCCTCACAAAAGATCTTGTATATATTGAATTCAAACTGCAATTACAATTAAAACGGAATAGATGATGATTTTTTAGGAATATAATTCAAGTAAAAAATAATCATTCAGAACAATATAGATTCAATCATTAATATGAAATCAATTTTTTTTTTACCACAAATAAACTATTATATTAAAGAGAAATAAACTCATCCACTATGACAACACAAATAAAGAGATCCAAAAACAATAGAAACTATAGAAAATCCTCAAAATAACGTACAAGAAAACTGCCTAACAAAACATGGAGCAGTTTCTACAGAAAAAGCTTGCTGCAGCCCAAGACCTGGAGAGTAAGAGGGAAGGTGTAAACTCAGCTGTATGCTCAATAGCTCATCACCTAGTTATGGAAGCTTCCTTTAAGCTTGTACATCACTATCTCATCCTTCACGCAGCTTGTAATTTTAAAACAGGGTGGAAATATAGTAGATTAATTATGGAGGGATTACTGCACCGTAGTGCCAATCCACATCCTTCAAATGAGATAGACAAACAAAAAAGACTCGAAAACCATAAAAAGAAGAAACAGGGAGAAGTTTGAAACTCTAGGGCAGTGTGAGCATGGAGATTCCACTCAGACCAGTACCATAGCCAAACACCAACTACATATTCTATATACACATACTCTGATCATATGCTATCTTGATAGAAAAACCATACTATCATCCCTAAATTAGCTCCCAGATGACTTCCTTTATGGTCATCAGCCAAAGACCAAAGAAAGTAAATGTAGCTGAATTACATGCATGTATATTGATAAGATTCTAATGATGATTTATGTTATAAACAGATTATGTTATGCACGATCTTGTATATGTGTAGGTGGGTATTATGTTTTGGTTTAACATGTTATGGATCTAATAAGAGTAGTGGACCTAGGCTATGTCCTGAGACTAGCTTCATTACTAGAGAGTGAGTACATGCACACTAGTGGAGAGTGGACTCCATAGCCATTTGGTTTATACTTATTGATAGTTTTTGAAGTTTATGTTTGCACTCTTTTTCTTTGTCTCATTTATATTAAGACTAATTTTTCATGCTATAGCTAATTATGAAATGCAGGAAAATCTATTTTGTTGATGTACACCGTGTCATGTTTAACTTCTGTTTACACTAATTTGTTATGAAAAGCTTATGCTAACTGTCATGACTTGGTCTAAATATTGCTAATTATCTAAATTATGCCTAAGTGAAATCTGTCATGAGTGTTTTCTATTGCTCTTCTAAATTCAGTGGATTGTTTTTAGCATGTATTTAAATTGACTAATAAGGTTATAACTTGAAGTCAAGCTCACCCTTCTGTATCTCACCTCATTTCAGACTAGCTAGCTTAAGAGGTGTGTCAAGTGTAGCTGACATCAATCCTACTAGTCCATATTAGTAATGAAAACCTGTATATTTAGCAAAACTAGAATTTGGCTGCATTATTTCGTAATTTTGTATCTAGTTAAGCTTTAGAGATGACAACTTATGGAAAATAAATCAATTAGATTGAAACATCCCAAAAACAATCTATCCATTAATACTAGAATATATATATATATATATATATTTTTTGGTACATCAAAGGGTTAGTTGCTTAGCATCACAGAAGTTTGAACCTCTAACCTTGATCCCAAATCACGATTTTTAAGTTAGTGGATACCAACTTAGCCAAGCTGTTTTTAGTGATTATGTAGAGTTAATCAATCATAAATTCCTCTATCTTTAATAGTTTTTACCAAATTGCTAGTGTTAACTAAGGCTTTGCAAGGTCAATTTAAAAATCTTCCTTACTTAGTTACAAAACATTATGATGGAATTTTACCTTTATTACCAAATTATTCTATTATATGCATGCTGAGATTTTATTAGTCACCACTCATACAACAAGGACTACTAGAGGGTGAGAACTTAATCTAGTATCACAAAATATGCCGTTGTCCAACAGACCAAATTCATCAAATAATAGAGTATTTATTAACTGTTATCTCTATCATTGTAGACAATCCTTCCACAGTTAAAATGCATTCCTATAGAGTTATATATTGAGATTGAGAGGAAAAAAAATCCAAAG